TTACTAGTATTATTATTTTATTTTATATCTTAGTTTACATATATGTATAGGATATATATGATAGAATAAAGAACAAATACGAAACAGATCTTAATTTAACATGTTTTCCATTATAAAAGCTTCATGAGAGATCAAGATAGAAATGATAACAAACTATAAAAAGCAAAGAGACGCAGATTAATGGTATGCTGTATTTGACTATTTCTTATTGTCTTGATACGTGTCACGTGAAATGAAGTCACAGATAATATTCAAACATGTGTGACAAATATTCTCAACGTTAATATGTTGAAAAGATACTAAGATACAGTAGGATATTTTGACTGGATATATGTCACAAGCAATGAAGTAACAGATAATAGTCAAATAAGAAAACATTCTGTATGCTAAAACCTCTAAAGGTTAGTAAGACGCTGTAGGATGTTTTGAAAAAATTGTTAGGTTAGTGTTGTAGCATACCTACTGACGATAATGTGCATGTCTCCATTCATATAAATACAGAAGTAAATACTGTATTTTGGTCTGTATTTGGAGATTCTTCTCCAGCTGTACTAGTCAAACTCTCTGCCTCCAGACAGAGACGTTCTCCAGACGAGGCTCTGTCGAAGGGCAGAGTCTCGTCTCAGGAAACAGCTACCCGATCTCGTTTTATATGGCATCTACGGGGAATTTTTTGGCCGGGCCTACGGGCTCAAATACCCCACATTAAATTCGGCCTTGTGGCACATGTGACCGCGTGGAACGGTTGGTAGATATCCTGCAGTTGGAGATTCGTCCCTAGTTGTTCCGGTCGAACTCTCTGCCTCCGGACGGAGACGATCCCCAGACGAGGAGAGGGCGGAGTCTTGTCTCGTGAAAGAGCTACCCGACTCCGTCTTATACGGGGTATACGGGAAATTTTTGGCTGAGTTTGCGAGCTCGGATCCTTGGTCGGTTCCAGTAGGTATCTGACTCTTTTTGCTATACTATACCATTACAAGAGCCAGATCAGAACAAAAATGGAATATTTCTGTCATATCTGGACTAGAACTGTCCAGTTCACACTTACCTGTCTTGATAGAGTTTGAAATCTTCTGCAAAGAGTTATGGGTAATGAATTATTTTCTGCTCTACAACCTTCTTCTCCAGAAACGAAACGCCGCGTCTCTCTCGCTGCTCTCTCGCTATTTCCATGGCATCTGTTCTGACTTGCAAAATTCCTTAGCCCTACCATTCCTGACATTTACAAGTGGGACCCGTCATGCCGTGTACACAAGAGTGAATCATCCCTATTCCCTTCGTATTCCATTAAGAAGAAGGAATTTTCACTCAGACAACCTCTTCCCAGGAAATGCTGATTTGTGGACTCCTGGCTGGGTGGTTTTCTACTCACTACAATCTTGACCTCATCAAGTATAGTGTTAATCGTTATCTTTTCTGTATAACCCATTAAAATTTACATCTTTCCTCTTACACTCACACAACACCGCACAGTAACTTATATAGGAATAAAGTGTCACTGCCGACACTTGAGTTCGAACATCGATCGCCAGTGAGCAAACACAGGCGATCCCATTATTGAATTAAGGAGACAACGTCACCATATAAGAGACGCATATATGGAAGATAGTGTAACATCTAATTGATCGCTAGTTCTAGTTTATCCTCTATACTCTACGGATCGCTATTTCTATTCTATCCTCTATTACTCTACGGGTCGTTATTTCTAGTCTATCCTCTATTACTATACGGACAGCTATTCTCTTCTTTATTCACTATACTATTTCTCTATTCGGATCACTATACGGATTAATATTCGAGCGAGTATTATTGAGCAATTACTATTAGTGCAAGTGTTATTCGAAGGCGTCTGTCACCAGTATTGTTCAACGGCGTTACTATAGTTGTATCTGCGATTACAAAGTCTCTACTATAACGAGCATTACAAAGCGACAACGAGTATTTGTTGTCATTACAAAAGTATCAACGAGTGTTCGTTGACATCACAAGCGACTTATGTGCCTTATACTGAATATTTGTATTTAAAAAAAAAACATCAGAAAGCAACATGACTCCTTTATGTGTAGGGGTGTTAAGCAAATAAGAAAAAATACTCATGCAATATCAGGTTTTGGAACAAGAAATTACCCTAATCATTTCCACGATCATTATAATTAACCTTAGGTTTAATACCAGAAAGTAAATGAATATATATATATATATATATATATATATATATATATATATATATATTTAAAGATATGTTTGGTGATACAAAATTTTATCAACAGAGCTAAATCGAGGTAAATAGAGTAAATTATATAATAAAAAGAGAGAACAAAGTCCATTGTAATTGGAGGCCATCTATATTTTATCTTTAAATCCTTCTCTTTGTAAACAGAAGAACTTTTATATTAGGCCTCCAACTAATTACCATTTAATTATTTTTACCACCAATAAACTTCGTCCATTATTCTTTCATATATATATATATATATATATATATATATATATATATATATATATATATATATATATATATATGCATACAAATCTACTCTATTAACCTGGATTTAACGCTGTTGAGCGAAGTACGAAACCGGTTAGCTAGCCCGTTTTTCATTTTTACTTTTTATTATCATGAGTGGTAATAATAAAACTGATTTTTCTCTTTTCATGGCAGTGATATATATATATATATATATATATATATATATATATATATATATATATATATATATATTGATCTGAATATATATTTTTTGTTGGTGGTGCTATTATCTTTAGTAGTGTTACGTCGTGGTAATGTTGATTGATTGTGCTATCCAGTGAAAAGAATCAACTCTCGAAACAACACATAAATAATAGTGGAGTGCAAGGGGGAAAAAAAGGCAAATGTTAGATTTTATATTTCTAAGATATTCCTGGTTACGTCTTCCCGCTCAAACTACTCAACCTGGTATCCCGAAAGAACGGAAACTGGGTCCAGGTTAATGGAAATCAAGACAGGAAATCAACATCCGAGAGCACGCGACTGGCTGGTGGCAAATGGTAACTATTTTTACAAAACAGCCTTTAATCACTTCTACATGTCTGTGCCAGCAGGCTCGTCCCTGAACCTATCTAACATATCTAATCTCTCTCTCTCTCTCTCTCTCTATATATATATATATATATATATATATATATATATATATAGAGAGAGAGAGAGAGAGAGAGACGGACAGATAGACTGACAGAGACAGAGCGGGGAAAGTGACAGATATGGAAACATGCATACACCCTTTTATGTCTTTCAGATAGAATCTAATCCTTCACCATGTTATTTGTTCTGAAAACCGACATGCCCGAAGAAAAGATCTTGTAAAGAACACAAGAATTTCCACGTATGTCCATCTCCGGAGATATATTTTTCCACATATAGATATATAGATATTGATATATATGATGTGTGTATGTGTGCGTGTGAGTATATGTACATCAGTAACAATGTAGTTTCGTATTTTAAATCATATGTATTTAGACAGCAAGAATTACTTGAACAAATACAAAAGGTAACAGGCAGAATTTTTGCGTCGAATTTAATAAAACTTTTTTAAATGCATCGTGTTAGATAGATAGATAGATAGATAGATAGATAGATAGATAGATAGATAGATAATGAACAGAATGTGATAGATAGATAGATAGATAGATAGATAGATAGATAGATAGATAGATAGATAGATAATGAGCAAACTGGGTTAGATAGATAGATAGATAGATAGATAGATAGATAGATAGATAGAAAGAAAGAAAGAAACATTGAGATAGATAGATAGATAGATAGATAGATAGATAGATAGATAGAACTGTCTGGTGGTTCTATATATGTTCAGCCAATATATATTCACGTTTTTGCATATATACATGTCATATGTACATATATATTTCCATGTATCGCAACATTTCAATATACATGCTCATATATAATCACGTCAATATATGTAGGTACATGCGTATGCGCATATATATTTATATATATATATATATATGTGTGTGTGTGTGTATATGTGTGTGTGTGTGTGTCTGTCTGTCTGCCTGTGTTTGTGTGTGTTTACAAACTAATGTACGCGGGAAAATGCCTATTTGCATAAGTTTGCGTTGTACACTTTCAAAAATTGATTTTAAAAATCCAGATGTGTGCCCAGTTGAACAGATTTGGGGAACTGATAACTTATCAGAATCTCCATGCATGCATATCTGGCGACAAATATCTGTTTATAAATATGTATATATATTCCTCTGTACACATACATATTTGGATAAGTGATAATAAGAATGCGGAAACAGATAGATAGGCATGAACAGACTAAGATAAATAGATAGACAGATAGATAGACAGTCATGAAAACAGACAAAGAGATAGATAGATAGATAGATAACAGATAGATAGATAGATAGATAGATAGATAGATAGATAGGCATGAACATACTAAAATAGGAATGAACAGACAAAGATAGATAGATAGATAGATAGACAGTCATGAACAGACTGAGATAGATAGATAGATAGATAGATAGATAGATAGATAGATAGACATGAACAGACTAAAATAGGCATGAACAGACTAAGATAGATAGATAGATAGATAGATAGATAGATAGATAGATAGATAGTCATAAACAGACTAAGATAGATAGATAGATAAACATGAACACAATAAGATAGATAGAAAGATGTATAGATAGTCATGAACAGACTAAGATAGATAGATAGATAGATAGATAGTCATGAACAGAGATAGATAGAGAGAGAGGGATAGATAGATAGTCATGAACAAACTGAGATAGATAGATAGATAGATAGATAGATAGATAGATAGATAGATAGTCATAAACAGACTAAGATAGATAGATAAATAGATAGATAGATAGATAAGCATGAACAGACTAAGATAAATAGAAAGATGGATAGATAGTCATGAACAGACTAAGATAGATAGACAGATAGGCATGAACAGACTAAGATAGATAGATAGTCATGAACAGACTAAGATAGATAGATAGATAGATAGATAGATAGACAGATAGATAGGCATGAACAGACTAAGATAGATAGATAGATAGATAGATAGATAGATAGATAGATAGATAGATAGATAGATAGATAGGCATGAACAGACTAAACTAGGCATGAACAGATAAAGATAGATAGATAGATAGATAGTCATGAACAGACTAAGATAGATAGATAGATAGATAGCCATGAACAGACTGAGATAAATAGATAGATAGATAGATAGATAGATAGATAGATAGATAGATAGATAGATAGATAGTCATAAACAGACTAAGATAGATAGATAAACATGAACAAAATAAGATAGATAGAAAGATGTATAGATAGTCATGAACAGACTAAGATAGATGGATAGATAGATAAATAGTCATGAACAGAGATAGATAGAGAGAGAGAGGGATAGATAGAGAGTCATGAACAATCTGAGATAGATAGATAGATATATAGATAGGCATGAACAGACTGAACTAGATAGATAGATAGATAGATAGGCATGAACAGACTAAGATAGGTAGAAAGATGGATAGATAGTCAAGAACAGGCTAAGATAGATAGATAGATAGATAGAGAGATAGTCATGAACAAACTGAGATAGATAAATAGTCATGAACAGACTGAGATAGATAGATAGATAGATAGATAGATAGATAGATAGATAGGCATGAACAGACTAAGATAGATAGATAGATATTCATGAGCAGACTGACATAGATAGATAGATAGATAGATAGATAGATAGGCATGAACAGACTAAAATAGGCATGAACAGACTAAGATAGATAGATAGATAGATAGATAGATAGATAGTCATAAACAGACTAAGATAGATAGATAGATAGATAGATATGAGCAGACTAAGATAGATAGAAAGATGGATAGATAGTCATGAACAGGCTAAGATAGATAGATAGATAGATAGATAGATAGATATTCATGAGCAGACTGACATATATAGATAGATAGATAGATAGATAGATAGATAGATAGATAGATAGATAGATAGATATTAACCGCCTGGGACAGAGAGAAAAAGAGAAAGTAATACAAGATATCAAGCGGAGATAGACGTGAAATTCGTGCATTCCATATTCGTTGTGAACTAATAACGATGACGAACTGGTGCATCTGCATATTCTTTTTTTGTTTTTACTTCTCAACCTTATCAGTCCGGCGATAATTTTTGTGTGAGAATGAAAGTGATTGAGATGGTGATTTTCTGTGATCAATTGCAAACAGCGGATACGTTAAGCAGCTTCCGTTCTTGTTCGACGAAAACCTTGATAATAACAGCCCGTCATAATCTCGGGACTTACAGCTTTTGTCTTTTACAACATCATATTGTAGTTTGAATGAGAGAGACAGACAAACAGACAGAGCGACAGAAAGAAATACAGACAGAGACAGACATACTGCACGAGAGAGCGAGAGAGAGACAAATTACAGACTCTGCATGTTGACGAATTCACGCTTAAATATATTCACACACACACACACACACACACACACACACACACACACACACACATATATATATATATATATATATATATATATATATATATATATATATGGGCATTTGTATGATAAAAATAGATTTCATTATAAAAATGAATACAAATATGTGTAGCACCCATTAATATTCCCACCACACATCATATATAGCTTTTTTGTTTATCTATATACACGTATATAATTCCAAATTATAGTGTGACGTCGTCCCCCGGTCGCAGCGTCGAGTGTGTCGTTCGATCCCGGTCGCGGCGCCAATTGTGACGTCACGTGCTCCCCAGGCTCTGATATCCTGGTCACGGACAGCACCAACTGTGACGTCTTCGCCGCGGCGTCAGCTGTTCGCTCCTCGCTGCTCCAAACGTGACGTTCTAACCCTTTGGTTAGATTGATACCAGCCTCGCCGTTCCCAACCCGCTTCCAACGCCTGTTTACCAGGGTAACTGCGCTGATCTCCAGTCTGCCTACCCACATTGTGAATTGATCTTAGACAGACGAGATCAAACAGGGGTTGGGGCCGTAATGCAAGTTGAGTCCAACGGGGGTGATAACACACAATTATGTATAAAAGAAAATAAAATAAAAACTCACAAGGTCCAACGTATCAAAGAAAAAGATAACAAACTTTTTATGTCTAATTGCTCGGTACATAGGACTATGTCTACTTCCCGACCCGTTCTGTGGATTGTGGCACGACGCTTTTACTAGGCAACTTTAAGGCTTCAAGTTGTCTGCTCTCTAAGAAATTTGTGTTTCGGTGTGTCTTTGGACGAAAGTCGAAAAAAAACTTATTTCTGTGGTCTGATTCTAAGTCGCTCTTCAAACTACTTGTTCTTGGTTGAAGAAGAGTCCAGAAGTGTGCGTGAATCTTGGTCAGCTATCTTGACGCGGTTTCAACACTGGGCGCTCATCTCTGCTTGTCGTCCACGGCTGAACTCTTTCGCCGTCCGCGGCTCAACTCAAACTTCTTCTCTTCAGAGTCTGAATTACTGGTCACTCATCTCCGCCGTCGGTGCGCGAACTAACTTCTTCTCTTCGAGTCTGAATTACTGGTCACTCATCTCCGCCCTCGGTCGGTGCGCGAACTAACGAACTTCTTTCGGCTTGGGTCGAACGAACTTCTTCACTTCGGCGTGGGTCGAACGAACTTCTTCATTTCGGCTTGGGTCGGACGAACTTCTTCACTTAGGCCAAACGAACTGGCCTCTCTTGCCCGCAAAGGGGCGAACGAACCTGGCCCGCCGTCCTCGGCTCAAACTGATTTCTGTCGGTTGGGGTTTCGCTTTTATTGACGCAGTCAAAACTGGGGTGGGTCTGTCGGCGCCAGGGGGTTCTTCGATAATTCTAAATACGTATCCACCCTTCTTATTTCTGGTTAGGGATTTTCCATTTTCGGTAACTCACCTCTCCCCCACTTCCTTACTGTGCCTCTGAGGGGGCGTATACCCGCTTCCCCGCTTCTTCGTATCGGCTCCTTACACTTACACTTCTGACAGGGGCGTCGACCGATTCTCCTCGTGCGTCACGTGACCGCTCTCGGCCAATGAGGTCCTGGTCGGGTATCTTTCCTCCTCCTTCGTGTGTCATGTGATCTTATTTAGCCAATGATGTCTTTAGTCGGGCGTGGTCAATCCATGGCTTTGTTTTGGGGAAAGAAACACCTTGCTTAAAAAAACAAAAATATTAATTTAAATCGCCCTTATCATGAGCGACTGAGATGACACCTTCGGCTTTTTAACACGTGGTATTTGTCAAGCAGTTTATCGCTAATTGGATATGACCTAAGAAAGGGATTTCTCAGACCCGTTGGCGTTTTTGAACGAAATAAAAATAGTTCATTTTCCTCCGCCCGAAGGTCCGATAATAAAATTCTTTATTATCTCAAAAAAAAAAATTTCAGCGACATCATCTTGTGTGGCTTTTTCCAATTCTGGAGACTGTCTGGGTTTTCGTATTAATGGTTTGCCTTCATATCCTTAGATACACTTCCCCACCCACTTAGACCTTTACTATCATTCCAATGACACACTTTCCACTTGTTACTTATCAATATTTTCATTGTCCCTAAACTTCGTTTCTTCTTTTCTTTCTTTTTTCCCTTGATGACAAACCAAGTGATAACAACGTCCATTTTCCGCGGATCTCGGTCAGATGCTTGACCTGAATATTTTTCGACACCTGTTATCTGCCAGCCGTGCGAGTGTGTGCTCGCCTATGACCTGTTTTCGTATTATTTTTTCTTTCTTTCTTCTTCGTTTTCTCTTTCCTTCTTCCAGATCGCTTGAATGTAAAGAAAGAATTATTCTTAAAACCCGAAATATTTTTCGGCCCTAAATAATTATTAAATGGTTGATAAACCGTAAAAAAACAAATCATATATCTATGAATATTTCTTTTCAGCTCGTCAGGTATGCATGGTGCCACAATAGTTCATAATTGATAATTTTATTACGTGTGTATAAATAGTTCCATCTTTGTAAGTAAAAGGCAAGATTTATAATGCATTATATATACCGTCTTAATATATAATTAACATCATCAGAGTAAAGTTTATTCCATAAGACATAACTTTTGTAATATATTTTAATAAACACTAATTAATTTCTATTACCACTAACACAGCTTTTTATGCAAATTCCCTTTGGTACATAACATGTTTACATAAATTAATTTTTTCTCTCAATTTTTTTTAATATTGTTTTTAATTTTTCGTCTTTCGAACTTCAGACTTTGTTCAATATAAATTAATTTAAATATTATAGTCAGAAATAATAAAAGAAGTCTTAACATACAATTTTAAATCAACACTTAACGGTAAGTGAGTGTTTTACAATTGAAGATTGCGTATATAGGCGTGCTATCGACGTGGGATATTATACATATACATATATATATATATATATATATATATATATGTGTGTGTGTGTGTGTGTGTGTGTGTGTGTGTGTGTTTGTAGAATAATTATATATATGTAATAATTATATATATATAATTATATATATATATATATATATATATATATATATATATATATATATATATATATATATATATATATATATATATATATATATATATATATATATATATATATATGTAGTAATATATAAATATAGAATTATATATATAGAATTATATATATTTGGTTGATTGATGAGTTTGTGACCCTGGTTTTCAAGCTGACGATCGCAAAAGCGTGAAACCCAGGGTCGGAAACTCACATCAATCCAACCAAATATATATAATTCTATATATATAATTCTATATTTATATTCTTTATGTTAGCTCTATCTCTGATATTGAGCGCTTTCTAATAGGTACTGCGCATATAATATATAAATAATAACACACACATTTCAAATAGAATTATATATATATATATATATATATATATATATATAATAATAATAATAATTGCCTTTTATAACCGGAGTTATATTTTCCGATTTCTTTTTGAATTTGTAGGTCTGATCGTGATTACGATTCCAATGTAATAAATTATAACCATAGAATATTAGTGTTTGAGCCCTTATTATTATTATTATTATATATATATATATATATATATATATATATATATATATATATATATATATACTAATGAAGAGAAAGAACACATTTAGAATCCATATTTCTTTAGCATTTACTTGTTTTAAAAAAAAGTTCTCAATACAACGTAGGACATAATATTTTTAATAATATTTTTATTTAAAAATATTTTATATTGTGGCACGGAAATTTCTGTATTTCGGGACTTAATTTTCTTTTATTTCGTTATCAGGCAATGTTCGTTAACTTTTGATGAAAATGATTTACTTTTGAAAACAGAAAACAATGCGTTTGCTCATTAAAGTGTTAAGTAGGAGTGGGGAACCAGATTTTAAAATCTTATCGGTATGTCTCTTTTGACTAATCAAAAATAGGCCAAAGCTAACGGAGAAATATTAAAAATTTAGGCTAGATTTGGGTGGAGGGTGTTCATACATGTCTCGAGGAACTGTCGTATTAAGACACGACCTCATACTTCCAGTTAAGAATACACATTTAAGTTACGAAGAAATATTCTTACAAATATGTATATCTCTAACAATAGGTCATCTTTTGTTTTTTATATCTTTTAGTACTATCTTAAGGCGGCCTCTGACGTGATTAAATCATTTTTATATAATTTTGAACCTAAAATACAATACTTATTTTATTAATTGGGCCTTAATACATGGCAATATTATAATTAAAAAAATTAAGAAATTAAGGAATTAAATCAATATTACATATACCGTTATATAAAATAAAATAATGGATATGTAATTGTAATACATAGATTTTGTATGAAAATTCCATTAACTATATTCTAATGTAAACATTGTACAATGACTACATATTACAGTCAATTCATTACGTGGATTTAATAGATCATTATTTTTAGGAACCTTAATAATATTTAGCTTTACATGTAAACAAAGAGGGCATGGGTCATTTAAGGACTTACATTTTTTTTTTATAT